TTTTATAATAAAAATTTTGATTCATATATTATTAAAGTTAAAATCTCTGTTTGCAATAGGTTCAGAATTGAGTAAACAGTTGGAAGGTTGGTTAAGCGCTGCTGATTTATCCCATGGACCCGCGAGAGCCATCATTGCCCCGTTAGTAGTCCAATATAATATTCAAGTTTATTAAGATACACATACTCTCTCACACACATATGTGTGTATGTATTAACGTATATCAATTTACAGTCATGCAGGATACAGCTATTGTGGAGCATGTGCTGGTTTTGCTTATCGACAAATTAGTCCTGTAGTTGTGTAAGTGTGAATTATATTAGCTATATTATCTTAGCATTTTATAAATAAATGTTTAATCACAATTTATAAAATGTTAAAATATAATTTAAATTACCAATCTATAAATTACATTTATGTTATTTTATAATTGTAATATCTTATTGTAATCATTAAAAGAGAATATCAGTTTATATTGTGATAGTTTAATCAATGTAAATTTTCATATAAAGTAGCCTTTATAATATATAGTTTAGTTTGTAATTTTTCAAATTTCTCAGTCAAATGAACCGTGCAACGTGCTGTTATGCAGCCGTAGGATATTTATTCTAGGGCCTTCTCATCATGTGAGATTACCAGGTTGTGCCCTATCTTCGGCTTCCATTTACCGAACACCGTTATATGATCTACTTATTGATCAACAAGGTGCTTATATATATTTTTCGTTATTATCCCTATATTAACATATTTATATTTTGCTTTTTTTTTTAATGCTCAACTTATAACAAATAGTGAAAAAAATATTTTATGTAAGGAAAAATGCTTCTTGTATGTAGCATATAAAGTACAATCCTTGAATTTACAAAACGGATATATTTTTAATAGTGAGAAGAGAACTTGAAGAAACTGGTCATTTTGAATGCATGGATTTGAACACAGATGAAGAAGAACATAGCATTGAGATGCAATTGCCGTTTATTGCTAAAGTTATGGAAGGGTATGTTTATAGATACATAAATTAATTTCCATCTTAAATATAGCAAAAATACGCAAAAATATATCGAGAAAAAATTGTACTAAGCTAGGAACATATACAATTTCTCTGTTTATTACTGAATAATAAGAATGATTCATCTTATTTATATGGGTCTCTATGTATGGCTTATATATATATATATATATATGTGTATATATATATGTATTTATAGATTCAAAGACTCATTTACTGTAATCCCAATTTTGGTGGGATCTTTGAGTCCGGAAAGAGAGGCGCTTTACGGGAGATTGTTAGCGCCCTACATGGCTGATCCGCAAACATTGTTCGTCATTTCTTCAGATTTCTGTCACTGGGGACAACGTTTTCGCTATACTTATTATGATAGATCATGTGGACCTATACATAGATCTATTCAAAATCTCGACAAAATGGTATGGTTTTTAATTTCTTTTCTTTGAGCGGGGGTAACGATTAATTTCGTAATTTAAATATATTACAATGTCTATAATGTTACATATGTTCGTTAAATTAGGGTATGGACATTATAGAGACTTTGAATCCTCTAATGTTCACCGAATATCTTAAGAAATATGGCAATACTATATGTGGCCGACATCCAATTGGCGTTTTGTTGCAGGTAATAATAAAGCAAGAACATGAAATAGATAAGGTCCTGCGCACAATGGAGGAAATATTAAAAATAGGAATATTGAGATTTCAACTTATCAGAAACCGTGTATTCTAGTGTAATCTGATAGATTGAAATCTTAATATTTATTCCTGTCCCTAACATTTATTCTATTGATTTGTGCCCAGGTCCTAAGTGAGTTAGATTCTAATTATTTTAATCAATGTTGTATTTTATGTCTTCATACAGGCAATTCACAGTCTTAAAGGAAATACAAATGGTCAAAGAATGAATCTGAAATTTTTGAAATATGCTCAAAGTAGTCAATGTAACAATATGAATGACAGTTCTGTCAGTTATGCTAGTGCTTCCTTAGTTCTTGAGTGATAAAACTATACACAATATCAAATATGGTCATTGGTCAGTTCGCTGATTATAGGCATTTTCTTAAAGTGGAATGATGTTTAACAGTAAGATGATTTAACAGTAAAAACTTCTATAAATTATTATAAACGAGACTAGGTTGAACGTTGAGATTTTATAATGCAAAAGGAGACACTGAATTTAACTACTGTAACTTCTAATATTATTTGTATAATATGACTATTATGCGATGGGTGTTGGGACAAATATTAATTCTTGCGCTATATGTTAACAGATAGAAATGTACTATTACCGAAACTTTTTATATAACTGCGTTTCGGTTTATTACTTACAAGAGATATTCAGTACTTCCAGATTTCAATGGGAAGGAGCTTAAATATTTCTTTGCTTTGATTTTTGATAAAACTATTTTAGAATTAACAGCGAAGTGTGTTTCTTGCATGTGCACTTTTGAGTAAGCAGATTTCAAACTATTGGCAAAGAAGAGAATATTGTTTATTGGCACTTACAAATTAGATACTTTTTATATATATAATTAGAGAGATGTATTAAAACTGTTAATTTGTACCTAAATTTATATTTTAAATGTACTATTTATGTTAGAAGTAATATAATTTTTACCTCTTGAATTGTGTTATGTTTAGGCTATACTATGAATTAGCAAAATTTTAAAATTGTTTCTAGATTGGCATAGATTAATTTAAGCTTAGATTACAAAATTATATACTGTTATAAAAATAACGTTTGCTATTTTTGACATTTGAAATATATATACATACATACATACATACATACATACATACATACAGGCTGTCCCGAAAGTTTTTGCTAATCGCTTTTGTGTAGATAGAGCGAATTAAACTGAATCGAAAAATCCTCTACCATTTTTTTTGCAATGCTCGCAATAGTTAATGAGACATTAATCGTTAAAGATAGCCGAATAAGCGCATCCGTTCGGTCTATTAATACCAAAGCGTACGCCCATTGATGGTTCGGCATGGAGTGGTAATAATTTGGCAGACGAGCCTTCATGTCATGACTTGACCGGCGCGCCTGCCAAGTTATTGCCATTCCCCGCGACCCGCATGCCTTTCGGGATATCCTGTATATACGCGCGCGCGCCATTTTAAATAATGAATTAAGATTTCTCGAAAACTATGGTAGATACGGAAAAATGTTTCAAACAAAAGTTATATGGTTCGGAAGGAGACATCTATCATAGTTTTCCAGAAATTTTAATGCATTATTAAAAATGGGACACCCTATATGCGTGCGTGCGCGCGCGTGTGCACATAGAGAGGGAGGGGAGAGAGAGAGAGAGAGAGAGAGAGAATTCAATTAAATTTAATACATCACATAAACAAAATTTACTTGAATCATTTCGCCATTTATTCTGTGATTAAATTAGATTAAATATGCTATTGGACTTATAAACATTTTGTAAAGTCTCTTCTGTGCCCTTAGTATGAATCTGTGTCATAATTGATATATCAGTACGAGAATTTTGGACTTAAGGATTTAAAATACATACATGTGCGCGCGTTCACAAATTTTCTTTTCTTTTCTTTTCTTTTCATACAAAGCAATGGAACGATCTCATATCCTTCCTATTATATAATCTATTATTACCTAAGCATAGAGAGGACAGAAGGGAAATAAACCGAATAAATTAAATATTATATTACTGTGACACGATGTAAATTTAAAAAAGGATCAGTATATATACCTAAATGCATTCAATAATTTTTTATTCCTAAGACTTTTTATGTGTATTACACACTTTATCAAACAATACATTTCGCAAAAGCATAAGTGATCTACAATATAGAATCCTATCTCGCCAAAACATTAATTAAAATGAATGATATACAATAATCGATTCATTTGGCAGTAAAAGAACTGGTTTGTAACAAAAGTATTGTATGAAATCATACAACTGATCCTGCACGTGTTGCTTTTTCTATCTTTATATACCGAGGTAATAAGGTTTATATTTGTATGAAAAAAAACCAATATAATCTATACATATATATTTCATAGACGTGTAATAAAATTACGTGAAAAAAAAATACAAGTTTCTGTACACAATTTATGGTAAATATCCCCTATAATCATATCCATATACATCTATAGCAAATCTCATCTTTCGCACTCATCTCAATACATACATTAACAATCTTATAAATTTGCTTTTTCTTTATTTTTGTAATCCTTATATTAACAATAGAAAGATTTGCGGCAATTAATATATCACCTATTGTTTTCAGTCTTAGGTGTTTGGTTATTATTTAAATATTTAGCATGTTACATCTAAACAAATACTATACTGTTGATCCAATCCCATGTAGCAGTCAGAAATCAAGTAGAATGCTAACTTTGTTATTCCTAAAATAAATGTTGAAATTTATACTTCAAGAAACTCGAAGAGATATGCTCGTACAAGAAAAGCATTACAGACAAATTAATGAGTTATTTACCCAAACTATTAGGTGCAGTAAATTGTAATTGATGATATTTCTGCTGATTATTTATACCGGACACCCTTTTTAAAGCCCATAATTCTTTATTCTGAATGTCGCCTAATATCAAAAACCAACTTTCATCCTTTCCTTTCAAAAACATTGGACAGTGTGCTTTTAAAACTTTAGTATTATTCATTCTTTTCAATCCAATAGTTAATGTGTACTCCTCATTTCGTCGAACTGCTATGGCGTCATCGTTATTAGGCTTCAGCATTATCTTCCTCTTTTCAACGTTGATGTCCCAAGAATTCTCCAATATTAAATCAACGGATATTATCGGCATATCTCTGATTACTTGATGTATCTAGAAAATGTTTTAACTTTTCAACATAAAAAAATAATATTTTTTATAACACACACCACACACATGTAAATATTAGACAGATATCTTTCCAATTTTATTACCTCACGTATTTGATCTACCCGATATTCTCCTTCATGTAAAAGCTTTGCAAGTCTGTTATAATTGTCGTATGTTGTGGAACATAATATTGGAAGAGCCATCGACAACGATGAAAACAAGTGTAAATCTTCCATCCTTATATGCGGTAACGTCATTATTGCAGATTCATCTATCCATCGTGCTTGCACAATCATTTGAAACAGTTGCGTTATCCTTAATGTGCTTGTTAACCATCCACGTTCTGCGACTGTGTCGATCATTGCCTGAAAATGTTTTTCTGTTAGTATAGTCAGTAATCAAATCTAAATGTACATACGTATAAAAGGCCTATGCCATATCCATTTTAGAAATTAAATTTATATTCATACCTGTATTATTCTGATTGCTTGATCGAGCACTGATTTCAGATCAGTGATATAATCGGTGCAAGGTAATAGTAGTCTTGAGAAATGAGCTTGCAGCAAGAGAAATGCTTTTGTATGTGGAGAATCATACTGATTTGAGGAATAACGACATAATTTTGCTAGTTCCCTGTTAAATAACATTTGCGTTTATAAAAAAAAAAGTAAGCGAAAGAAACTCGAATGACTTACTTATCTCTTCAAAGACTTACTCGTTCAATAATTCCTCATTATGTCGCACAGGTAATTCGTTGTATTCATATGAGTTGCAGAGTGTACGTAAATACTGATCCAACGTCAAGTTCTCCTCTAGCGATTGCATAAACATCAGCATCGTATTATGCGACAAATAATAAAATGACGCTATCTTACCCATCGGCAACGAAAGTAAAGTTTGTTCGTCCTAGATAGAAACATATCAGGAAATTTATCTATTGTAAATTATTATGTTACTCCAATAGATTTTATCATCGTAATCGATACCTCATCATAATCGATACAATGCGAATCCATTAACGACTTTACGGTGGTCTCTACCAATCTCGAGAGATATTCATTGATATAATAAGGCTCCAAGATATCCAGATCATAATATTTCGGATTTTTCATCAATCTTCGAAAATAATATGTCCACGTTAAATAATCGAGAAACTCTTGTTTGTTCTTGATGGTACCAGCGACAATTTCAGCATTAATATGATCAGGTAATACTCCTATCAGACTCGATTCCACGGGAAACGGTTCGTATAAAAATTTCTTGTAAAAATTTTTCTTTAAGTCGTGCACAAGAACGACCGCCACACCAGAATCATCAAACTGTGGTCTGCCAGCGCGACCCATCATTTGGAGAACATCCGTTATCGGCATATCTACGTAACGTTTTAGTTTGCCATCATAATATTCCGTACCCTTTATCACCACCAGATGAGCAGGAAAATTGACACCCCAAGCCAAAGTGGCCGTCGTGATTAGTACCTACATTAACCAATTGATTAATGCAATTACATTCATATTGATACGGATTAAAAATTCGAAATACAATCAAAGCTGTTGAAGGTATAGTTGCAACTGATTTTATCTGTATGTATACCTGTATCTTATTATTGATAAATAATTCCTCCACAGTTCTCCTGTCTCTGTCTTGAAGACCGGCGTGATGAAGGCCAATTCCAAAGGCGAGTGTGAGCTTTAGATTCGAGTCATTTATATTTTCCAGAATGTCGTTCATTTGTTCTTCCGGCATATGTAACCATTGCTTGGGATTATCCTCCGCCGCGAGATAGGCAATCAGATCGAGAGCGGTCAAGCGAGTTTGCCTGCGAGAGGAGACAAATACGAGAGAAGGACTAGTGGGCGCATGTTGCCTGATCGCCTGAAAGGTTGGTCTATTCATGGTTGCCATCCGGGGACAATAATGTTTACCAGGAAATCCGCTGATGTGAACTTCCAGTGGTACTGGTCTTACGGACGGCCGGAAATTATAGAGACCCATCTCTTTGATACCGAGCCAATTGGCCAAATCTATCGCGTTGGCCAGCGCGGTCGAGAGCCCGATGACTCTGACCTTGTTATGCGTATGCGAGGATATGAAATTAGTACGGGAGATGATCACCTCGAGTACCGGACCGCGATCCTCGCCCAACAAATGAATCTCGTCGATCACTATAAGTGCCACTTTCTTCACGTAACTTCGCGTTTGCCAACTTCGGCTGATACCATCCCACTTCTCGGGTGTCGTGACGATCACACTCGCGCTGGCTATCATCTTTATGTCAGGTGACACATCTCCAGTCAGCTCCACCACTCTTTTACCTAGTCGTTCCTCCAGTCGTTCCTTCCAATCGTTTATGCGTTCCCTGACCAGAGCTTTCAGGGGCGCTATGTAAACGACCTTCTGATCGGGATTCTGTTTGAAAACGCGAAACATAGCAATCTCCGCTGCAATTGTTTTCCCCGAGCCAGTCGGAGCACCGAGAAGAACATTGTTATCCGTGTGATATAAACAATGAAAGATTTGCGTCTGTATTGGATTAAAATGGGAAAAGTTATACAAGCTCTCAAAATTTGGATTTTTGAGAACAGTTATCGGTAACGGTTGCAATTCTAGCAGATCTGTGTGCGGGGGATGAGTCTCTGGCAGAATGAGATCATGAAAGGTCAACGGAAACGTAGCTTCGCAACCGAGCCAATGATCGCTTGTGATTTGGACGAGATACTGCGTCGGTAACGATTCGGACAATGGTATAGTCATGACGAGTTCTTGCT